GATAATGCAGATTTTGTGAGTAAGTCCATAAAAAGTGGTTGAAGCCTTGACTAGGTGGAGTAGGAGGAGATTCTCAAATGCACATAAACAAATACAATGCTTGATGAGGAGATTAACGAACCTGACAAACAGTACGGATGGGGGAAGGGAAAAAGTGGCCATTCAACAAATCAAGGAGCAAATTGAGAGACTATGGAGGCAAGAAGAGATGTATTGGAGTATGAGGTCACGAATTAGCTGGTTAAAGTGGGGAGATAGAAATACCAAATACTTCCACGCCACCACGATTCAAAAAAGACAAAAAAATAGAATCTCTATGCTGAAAATGGGGGAGAATAGATGGATCAGGGATCGTTCAGAGCTCAAGTCACATATCCAATCATTTTATCAGGATTTATATGAGTCAACAGGACACAGAAATTTCCAACCAGTAATTGATCAATGCCCATACACTCCAAAAGAGGGGATGAACGAGGCCTTAATGAGAAAAGTGTCGATTGAAGAAGTGAAAAAAGCTGTGTTCCAAATGGGTGCAACCAAGGCCCCCGGACCGGATGGATTGAATGGCCAATTCTATCAGCATATCTGGGAGAGTATACAGCATGATGTCTACTGTTTGGTGGATAATTTCTTCACCTCAGGTGTGCTCGACCCCACCCTAAATCATACTTCTATAACCCTTATTCCTAAGGTGGCGAACCCTGAGTGCATTACTCAATATAGGCCAATCAGCTTATGTAATTTCAGTTACAAAATCATTTCTAAAGTCATGGCCAACCGTCTAAAACCTTGGCTTTCTGAACTTATTTCCACTGAACAAAGTGCATTCGTGAGTGGAAGGCAAATTCAAGACAACATATTAGTAGTTCAGGAAGTACTCCACCAGTTGCGTACTAGGAAAAGGGAAAGAAAGTTCCAAGCAATACTCAAGCTGGACATGCAGAAAGCTTATGATAGAGTTGAGTGGGATTTCCTGTGTGCTAGTATGCTGAAAATGGGCTTCAGTAACAGATGGGTTCAGTTAATCAGGGAATGCATATCTACGGTCTCTTTTAGCGTCCGAGTTAATGGGGAATCCCTACAGGACTTCCAGCCGTCCCGAGGCATAAGGCAAGGGGATCCACTATCGCCGTACTTGTTTATTATTCTGGCCAATGCCTTATCGTCTCTAATGAACAAAGCAATTGAGGAGGGTAGCATCAGAGGTATAAAGCTGAATAGGTGGTGTCCCATGTTATCACATCTATTATTTGCGGACGACGCAATTTTTTTCTTGAATGGATCAGTCCGCGAATGTCAGAATTTGGCAAGTATTTTGAACCAATATTGCTATGCTTCGGGCCAGGCTATCAATTTAAACAAGTCAGGTATCTTCTTTAGCAATGGATGCCCTGAGTTACTGAAGAGGAATATGGCGGAGCAGCTACGAGTTCCTATTATTGACAAAACCGGTAAGTATCTAGGCATTCCATCAGATTGGGGGCAGTCAAAGAAACAAATGTTTGCCTGGATATTAGCAAGAGTCAATATGAAGCTAGAGGAGTGGAACGAAAAGCTGATTACCAAAGCAGGGAAGGAGATCCTAATTAAAACTGTCATTCAAGCTTTGCCACAGTACGCAATGTCCATTTTTAAGATTCCTATCTCGATTTGTCGAGCGATTGAGCAGAAGATTTCCTCCTTCTGGTGGAAGCAAAGTGCAGAAAAGTAGGTATCCATTGGAGAAAATGGGAACTTCTGAAAATCAGGAAAGACGCGGGTGGCTTAGGCTTTAAGGACCTAATTGTTTTTAATAAGGCAATGCTGGGAAAACAGGCCTGGCGACTAATACAAGCACCGAATGCCCTTTGGAGTCAAGTACTGAAGGGAGTCTATTTTCCCCGTGGTGAGTTTTGGCAAGCAAACAAGGGCCATCGCCCATCCTGGGGGTGGCAGAGTCTATTAATGGGCAGAGATGTAATTGAAGCAGATGCTAGATGGAAAGTAGGTGACGGCAAAAAGATAAAAATTAAAGAGGACAGGTGGCTCCCTTCTGGCAAAATTATTGGCCCCTTGAACCAGGAGGCACCAAAATTCGTAGCAGAACTGATTAACCAGGAGACTCATGAATGGAAATCACACTTGATAAAGGAAATTTACGAGGAAGATGTGGTGCAAGAACTACTGATAATCCCACTAAGCACAAACCCTTCGGAGGATACTTTGGTGTGGACAGGGAACACAAAAGGAGTCTACTCGGTTAAAAGTGGCTACAATCGGTTATGCTCCCAAATTTCACAACAACAGATGAATCAAGCATCACCATCATATCAGCCTCCCAGGAACTTATGGACTAAAATATGGCAAATCCCAGTCTACCCCGAGGTTCGTCATTTCTTATGGAGCATATGCACAAATGCTCTACCGACAAAAGAAAATCTGTATAGAAGAAAGATGGCACCTGATCCCCTCTGCCCGATCTGCCGCCGAGTCCCGGAGACCCCCGAACACCTGCTCCTCCTTTGCGACTGGACAAGAAACGTTTGGTTAGGCTCTCGGTTAAATCTAGACACCTCAGCTACCAAAATTTCCAGAATGGACAAGTGGCTTGCGGATTACCTGTCGAAAGACCCTCCCTCGCCGTGTGACACCCTCTCCTCCTCGGAAGACCTTCCCTCGTCGGCGATAGTGGCCGGCATAATCTGGTTGATCTAGAAGGCATGAAACGCCTTGGTATTCCAGCAGCGCAAACCGAACCCATGGAACATAGTGGAAGAAGCAATCAGTGACTATAAAGTGTTTGAGAGGTGGAACACAAACAAAAAGGTAGGAACACAACAGTTGAAAGCCTTAGTAGATCGTTGGTCTCCGCCGGCGAAGGGGAACCTCAAGCTGAACATCGATGCGGCTTGGTGCAGCGAAACACGAGAGGCTGCGGCTGCGGGAGTCCTCCGGAACCAAGATGGACTCCTAATTTCTGGGTTCACGAGGTCTTTTAGAGCTCCATCAGCTAGCGTGGCGGAAACCCTTGCTCTACGCGACGGACTCTCCTTTCTGTTGAAGCTTCGAAGTCAAAAGGAAAGGGAAAGTGATCTGCACAGTGACTTCTCTGATCTGCGCGTGGAAGTGGAGTCAGACAGCCAAGCGTGCGTGAGGTGGATCTCGGGCCAAGAAGAGAGCCCGTGGACCGTGAGTTCAGTGGTTGAAGACTGCCGAAAATTGATGGCCCAACTAAAAGAGGTATTTTTAGCCCATTGTCCCAGAAACTCCAACCAGGCCGCGGATTGGATGGCGAAGGCCCAGCGTACTCATTCCTTAACTCCAAATTGGTTTTCTAAACCTCCCCGTACCCTTTGGTCTCTCTTATGTTATGATTGTGGAAACTCATGTGAGTCAATTTCTAGTGTCTAATGAAAAGTTAAGCGTATTTTCGTCCAAAAAAAAAAAGATTTCGTTTATTTCAAGGCCATCTTCTTCAAGAAAGTCTTCAGAAGAATTGTTCTCATCTGTTGTTGTCATGATGTCATTTAGTTGATAAAGAGTTTGTTCATCTTCATTTATTTATTTTTGTTTATTCTACAATATTTTGAGATATGTCCTTGTTTCCCACATGTGTAACATTTAATATATTTGTTAATTTTTTTTTCTATGGTTTTTTCTAGGTTTATCATGCTGTGATTTGGTCCTTCTAGGATTTCTTGTTTTCTTTCTATCAGTTTTTGGAGGACAAGTTCCTTTACATCTTGGTTTTGATGGCTTTGTGTATGAGGGATCATATCGGGCATAAGTGGCCTAAATCTTTATAGGTGAGTGATTGTTTTTTTTTTTAATTTGCCATTGTAATTTGATTGAATACACATTTGTGTTCCCTGTTTATAAATGTATGAAACTAATTCTCCATAAGAAAGTAAGTGATACGGGATTTGACTGTCATATTCTTCTCTGATTTTATCTCAGACTTGATTTCCTATTATAAGAGCTAAACATGCTAAGAATTTTTCTTTCGAAAAGGGTTGATTACAGTTTGGTCTAACAAATTTTTCTTTGGAAGAAAATATCTTTATATTCCCTAAATCTTCCTAAGAGCTTACATTTCATCTTATGTGTGAAGGGTCTCCTATGAAATGTTGTGATATAGAGAAAATAAGTGTGCTAACAGCATCTCGAATGATTTGTCCATTTTCATCCGCCATACGTTGACCATATTCTATTCTATATGCATTTAATATTAGAATCTTCTGTTCGTCTGTTAAGTAATTATCCCACCAACCTTTTAATTGATCCATAAAGCCTGCAACTAGAAGATTAGCCACTGCATGATTCGAGACATCTCGCTGAGTTTTATAAACATTAGCACCCCTTTGATTGTGCCATCTCAAGTGATCATTGAATTTCTTTTTGTGAACTTGCTTTGACTATTGTTTATCTCAAATGGGAACTTCCGCTTGCAATTGTAGCTTGTCACCATCCTTGGGGCGGTATAGTAGAACCATTCTGTTCCAAATCATGGCAAAATTCTTAACAAGATTATAGATATAGAAACAAGATTTGTGAGCAAACTACTCCAACCTACACTAATAGCTAGAATGTCCCCGGCCTTTCAGGAACAAGAACAGGAGAAAGGACAACAAGATTTATTTTATTTTATTTTTTGGTCGAAGAACGGACAATGAAATTCAAAGATCTGTAATTTGAATTTCCAAGATCAAGTGGCACTGAAAACACAAAATCTCCTCTTCTTCTTCTTCTTCTTTTCTGTTAAATCTTCAAACCCAATAATTGAACTCAAATAAAGAGGGAAAAAAGAGACGAAGTATTATCGTTGCTCAGCGGAATGAGAAGTCGTTTATTGAAAGAATGAACTCGTGCAGGGATTCACTGCCCCCATCAACACCCTCTGCGAGTGCCTTCACCTCATCACTGCTTCTCTATCCCACCCAAAAGAAACGAATCAATCTTGTTTTCCAATGAAAAGACTTTGAAGAAATTGCTGTTGAAAAATTGATACTTCAAGAATGCAAGGGCTTCAGTATGAGTAACAATCAGATCATCGATGATAATAAGTCTCGCTGAAATCTGCTAAGATAATATTTGATTTAACATCACAAGCCCATCTCAATACCAGAAGCAAAGTCACAACAGAACATGACCTACGCCAAAATGCAATAATGGAGGAATCGATTTGAGTATGTCATGGAGAGTGGCAGGGTTAATCTTCAACTCCTTGGGAGCGAAAGCCATCAGGTATCATAAACTCTAGCCCACATACCGTTGCATCGTCATTGCACTCACGCCAAAAGATTTAACATGCGTTTGTTTCGCGGAAATCAAATGATTTTAAAATTTCTGTTCATTTTTTTTTTGGTCGTTTTCCACGTTTTGTGGTGGATGGGAACTTTATATGTGATAATGTTACTCTTCAATAGTAGGTGAACTTATACCTCACCTGCTCAACCAATATGAAATAGCTCTTTGCCATCTTGTCTGATTATAAATCCTTCTATTCTTTCACTGATTCAATAGTGGAGTATGTATGCCTCACCTGCTCAACGCAATGTAACATGAGATGAGATGGCTTTTTTTCTTTTTCCTTCTTTTCTAAATTTTAGGGATAAGTACATCAAAATTCTTAAAACTTGTTACGAAAGTGCAATCGAGTCCTAAAACTTTCAAAAAATGCAATCAAGTCCTAAAATTTATCACAAAAGTGCAATTGAGTTCTATAACTTTCAAAAGGTGCAATTAAGTCTTAAAACTTGTCACGAAAGTGCAAACGAGTCCTAAAATTTTCTAAAAGTGTAATCAACAGAATGACTTGATTAAATCAATTTAACAAGTTTTAGGACTTAATTATATTTTTTGAAAATTTTAGGACTCGATTATACTTTCGCGATAAGTTTTAGTACTTTTAATACACTTATCACTAAATTTTAAATCCCAGGCTACATATTTCGAAAGCTTCCATTTCCTTTAATCAAGGGTCTTTTTTTTGGGTTAATACCACGAAAAACCCTAAACTGGTACACTTGTGACAAATTTACCCCAAACTATTTTTTTGACCACAAAAAATCCCAAACTGGTATACCTGTGACAAATTTACCCCAAACTATTTTTTTGACCACCAAAAACCCCAAACTGGTACACCTGCGACAATTTTACCCCGACATAATTTTTTAATATTTTTGATTTTTTTTTTACTTTTTCTTTTCTTTCCTTTTTCCTTTCCTTTTTTTTTTTCCTTTATCTTCTTTATCTTCAACCTATGGCCGGTCGCCGGTCCAACAACCGGCCATAAGTTCAACCTCGCCAGTTGCCGATGAGGTTCGACCTCGCCAGTTGTTGGCAAGGGGTCGTCCTCGCCAGCGACGGCGAAATCCCAACCGTTCCGTCCGGTGATCGCGAAGCCGCATTGCTCCAAGCACGAAGCGTTTCTCTCTCGATTTTCCCTTCTCCGATTGGAGGGCCGGAGCCATGACCGACGTCTCTCTCAAGTGCGGCGACTGCGGCGCCCTCTTGAAGTTCGTGGAGGAAGCTCAAGGGCACGCCGAGCTCACCTCTCACTCCAACTTCTCCGAGTCCATCGAGGCCGTCCTCAATCTCGTCTGCAGCTCCTGCGAGAAGCCCTGTCGATCCAAGACGGTACGCCAAATCCCCGCCTTTTATGGCGTTCTGATCTGTTGTGCTCGCCATTGATTTGATTTCTGAGCGACGGCGAGGTCGGCCTCGCCAGCAGCCGGCGGGGGTCGAGCCTCGCCAGCGACGGCGAGGACGACCCCTCGCCAGGGGTGGGCAAGGCCAATCTCGCCCGGTTCTTGGCGAGGTTGGCCTCGCCCGGCGGCCCGGCGAGGGCCGACCTCCACGGCCCAGATCTACGGCCGGTCGCCGGCCGGCGACCGGCCATAAGTTGAAGATAAAGAAGATGAAGGAAAAAAAAAACGAAAAGGAAAGGAAAAAGAAAAGAAAAGAAAAAATTAAAAAATTAGGTCGGGGTAAAATTGTCGCAGGTATACCAGTTTGAGGTTTTTGGTGGTCAAAAAAATAGTTCGGGGTAAAATTATCACAGGTGTACCAGTTTGGGGTTTTTTGTGGTCAAAAAAATAGTTTGGGGTAAATTTATCATAGATGTACCAATTTAGGGTTTTTCGTGATATTAACTTTTTTTTTTTTTTTGCCTCATGATGATATTCTCGTCCTTCAAAGAAAGACATCTTGATAGAGACGGTTCTGTCGTGCCAATAAAAGGGCCGCTGCAACGTGAAAAAGCATCGCAGAAAAACATATACGACCAGCCCTCGAATTTGATGTTGGCCAAAGGGGCGACCTTACGAATCCGTGGTTTATATCAGCATGTTCAAAAGGTTAGACACTTGGAGAAATAAGAATTACCACCAACACATTCTAAAAGTTAGCATTGCTTCTTGAAAGATTGTCAATCACATTTGAGAAATCCAAGATTTCATCTGACCTATTTTCAGAAATCTCTTGGCAGATGAAACTCGACGATTCAATGGAACCGAGCAATCAAACAAGCGGAAGATAGCTTTTCAAAAATCCACCGTTCAGCGCGAATAATTTCACGTGAAAACCAATCATGAATTAGTGACGGAACTCGCACATACGAATATTCTAAAAGTACGGCGACGTTGATCATTCGCATCGTAATCTGACCAACATTGCTCATTTGCTATGGAGAGTTACGGTACTCTTTGATCAAAGAAGTTCAAAATTACAATTTTATGGTTTGTCAATGGGTTCTTTTGTCCATTTCTAGTAGTCATCCCACTAAAATTAACGCACGAACAAGAAATCATACTAAGAACTCGTTCACTAAAACGTCTTAATCTTGCGAGTAAATCAACTACTTTTGTCCTTCGATGCCAACCCAATTAAAATCCATAACCAACAAAGTGAAATTAATTTTCTTTTATGGAATTCATTATATTAGTAAGAAAACTATTAGAAAATGGGACAAAAGTCACCAAAAATCCTAAACTATGCTCACCAGGCCTTCTTTTTTTTATGTGCTGTGACAAAAAAAATCTCAAACTTGTACCTGTATCATACATTTAACCTCTGTCTAAGTTTTGTCAATGAGAACCATTAAAAAATCTTCCTACATGGACGCCAGCAAAGCAAACATTATTGACAGGAATAAAAACAACGTTTTTTTGGCTACAAAATTATTCAACGGAACCCTGACGGAAGGTATATGCATCAAATATGTATAAATTTGAGATTTTTTTATGCTACAAGAAAAAATTTATGATATATGTATCCCGGTAAATATAGTTGGAGATCTTTTCCTAAAAATTAAGGTCGGCCCTAGCCCGCAAAGACACGAAAGTAGAGGCTGGTGGCAGATGCGATCAGCGTGCGATGGCTTGAGAGTTGGTCCAACTACAAAGGCCACGTGTACGGCTAATTTGCTAACTTGAGGTTAACAAGTTCCGGTCTCCCTCTCTGTCTCTCTCCTTGTTTTTTCCTTATCGACCACTCCAACATCAAAAGACTTGAAAAGCTGACAAAAAAATTCGGTACAAAACCAGGAAAAACAAAACCACCTCCGCCTGTCTGGCTTTCTTTTCCTCCTCCATCATCGTTCTCTCTGTCTGCGCGCTTTGGCCCCGCTCGATGACAAAAGTCCCTCGTACCGCATGGGAAAGTTCAAACCTCGGGTAACAAGAAAAGATAAAACAATGGAGGATCAAATGAGACCCATCAAAGCTTTTGCCACGCCGAGACATCGGGTGTCCTGCTGTTTGTTTAGACTTAAAGAGGGAATTGCCCCATTGGGCGCGTATCGAAAAACAATTTATAGACTCCTGTTGCAATAAAGCTGTCGAGATACACATGTGAATTGTGTTAGAAAAAACTCACATCTTAATTAGCTTGGATTTGGATTCCCTATTGGCGATTTCCCTGGACGAAGGTGTCACACGTTGCGCTCCAAACAAAAGCGATGTACGATGATTAAATTTTTATATTTAGTTAGGGACTCGAGATGTGAATTCGAAGACGTTGGTCAGTGAAAACTTCCACACGCAAATGACAAAAGGAAGAGATTCCGAAATTTTCAACACCGTTGGCCATCTAACTTGTTCACATTCTGCACATCTCCACCTGCAATGGCCAGATTGGCCGAAGCCCCACGAGCTTTTTTCTTGGTATTAGATTAGTCATCCTGCCCTGCCTGCCTTCCTTCCTTCCTTCCTTCCTTCCTTCCCCGTTCTTTGGTCATCTAACTCCATACCCATCGCTTTTTTTAACTCCTTTCTTAAGTTCGTGTCTCTCTCGCCGCCAATTGCGCCCTCCATCAATAAGATTTTGCCGTACTTATAACTCTCCAAGACTCTCGCTTTCTCGTCATCACTCCACGTCTTCGTCTTCGTCTTCTTCTTCTTCTTCTTCTTCCTCTCCTCCTCCTTTGGCTTCGTCGTCGTTCGTCGTCATCGTCGTCATCGTCGTCTTCGTCCTTAAATTTGCGAGACGAGAACCCTAGTTTAAACCATGCAAATGCAACTCCTGAAGATACCCACCAAGCATTTTCTCTCCCCCTCTCGCCTCATCAACCTCATCCTCATCCCCTCCTCCCTCTACATCCTCTACCTCCTCCTCTCTCTCCTCTTCAGCAGCAGCCACCACCATCCCCAATCCTATGTGCGCTCCCTCTCGGCCGCGTCGCGACCCGGTGATCCCGCTGCCTCGACCTGTCCTCCTCCTCTCTCTCTCAACCACCTCGTCTTCGGCATCGCCTCCGACAAGAACTCCTTCCCCCGCCGCCGGCATTACATCGCGCAATGGTGGCGGCCCGGCCTCACCCGCGGCTTCGTCTTTGTCGACGCCCCCGTCCCCCCCACCGCCGGCAATGACACTCGCCGCCTCCTCCCCCTCCCTCCTATCGTCGTCTCCAAGGACACTTCCGGGTTCCGCTACACCAACCGTAACGGCCTACGCTCCGCCATCCGCGTGGCCCGCGTCGTGGTGGAGACGGTGGCGATGAATTTGACCGGCGTGAGGTGGTTCGTGTTCGGGGACGACGACACGGTGTTCTTCCCCGATAACCTGGTGAAGACGCTGTCCAAGTACGACGACGGGCTGTGGTACTACATCGGGAGCAACTCGGAGGTGTACGAGCAGAACCGGGTGTTCTCGTTCGGGATGGCGTTCGGCGGGGCCGGGTTCGCCATCAGCTACCCGCTGGCCCAGGTGCTGGCCAAGGGGTTCGACGGGTGCATGGAGCGGTACGCACATGCTTACGGGAGCGACTCGAGGGTCTACGCCTGCTTGACCGAGCTTGGTGTCGGGCTGACGCACGAACCCGGGTTTCATCAGGTATGTATCATCATGGCTCGGTTAGATTCAATTTAGTCTACATTTTGATATAGTGAATCAAACATTTCATTTTGCAATGAAATATTCATCGATCTGATTCAATTTCAAAATGATAATGTTGATCCGACGAGTCGATGAGGAGTTAAATATCTATTTGAAATTACATAAAGATAACGTAAACCAATTACCTAATCTAATTATCTAACTCTAGCTATTGATTTCAAAGTTGGTTTTTGTCTATTAGATTAGGTGATTGAATTTTATCAATTGCCCGTGTTAAGAACGACACTTGAGCTGAAAAGCGTACTTTGCAAGGTCCACTATCATAACTTGGTTTTTACCACGAATTTACCATGACACCTTCCACACGTTCAAAAACTATAGTAACAATCCAAACACTACTTCAGCCCGCTACTTAATTACCAACTTTGCGAAGTGATCTTTTCACAATTTTTTCCATAATTTTTATTTCATCTTCGTCAATTTCTCTTAGTGTTTTCCTTTTCGGCAATGTGTAATATGTGCATTGTTGGTTGGTCATCTTTTCAGAAATTTTTTTCCATTATTTTTATTTCATCTTCATCAATTTCTCTTAGTGTTCTGCTTTCCGGCAGTGTATAATATGTGCAATGGTGGTGGTATAATATATCCATGTCAAAAAAACATAGCTATGTTTACAAAATAAAACACAAAGAAAACGCGATAAATGTAGCAAAGAATTTCCTAAACTCGCGACTTACACGATTTATGAAGTTAGTGGGATATTTCATCGGCTCAGAATTTATTCGTTAAAATGAGATTTTTTATTATTTAAAACATACTAGATCAGTTACTAAATCAAGATAAGAATCTGGCATGTCACTTTTTAAATAAATTTAGTGTATCGATCCCAACAATTCTAGCATTATTTCCATTAAATATTTAATTGTTTTTTTCGGTCGAAAAAAATTTAAATGATATAGTAAATCATTTGATATTTAGACTCCATTTGTTTCGTGGAAAAAAGCATGATTTGGAAAATATTTTTCTAAAAACAATTGGTTATATACAGTTCGACGTCCGGGGCAACACGTTCGGAATCCTCGCGGCGCACCCGCTCGCCCCACTGTCATCCCTCCACCACATCGACTACACCGACCCGATCTTCCCCAACATGACCCGACCCGAGGCCCTGCGGCACCTCTTCTGGGCTGCCCAAGCGGACTCCCAGCGGCTCCTCCAGCAGTCGGTCTGCTACGACCCGTCGCTCTCGTGGACCGTCTCGGTCTCGTGGGGCTACGCGGTCCAGGTCTTCCCCCGCCACCTGCCGCTGACCGAGGCGGTCCGCGTGCGGGAGACGTTCCGGCAGTGGAAGAAGGGGAGCGTGCTCGCGAGGTCCTACGGGTTCAACACCAGGGAGGTGGAGCCCGACCCGTGTCAGCGGCCCGCCGTGTTCTTCATGAGCGGCGTGGCTTCGACGAAGGCTTGGATCAAGAGCGCTTACAGGAAACACGACGATGGCAACTGCTCGACCGACATGGCTTCGCCGAGGAAGCTCGACGAAGTGAGGGTCTACTCTAGCAAACTCGATCAGGATATCAAACAGGTACCTTCTCTTAGCAATGACATCAAAATTGCTCTAGTTATAAAAGTGATCTCATGGATGGTAAACGATTATTTAAGTAGGTGGGTCATATTCAAATGTGTGTCGAATTACTTGCAAGCGATTCGAGCTCCGTTACGAGTTCTAGTATAATGTCGAGTTCAAGTTCAATGGCAAGAGCTCGAGCTCGGCTTCGAATGTGCTCTGTTAATCCCGACTTGTGTCCTAGTCAAACTCGAACTTGTAGAAGACTTATATCAGGTCGAGCTCAGTTGTTGAGTATCATGCTCAATCGAGCTCAATGACACCCCTCATGAATGGCACTAGAACACTGACACTTTGTTCCTTTTCACTTCTCAGTTGCGGGCTCCCAGACGGCACTGCTGCGACGTTTTGCCTTCCTCCATTGGCGAAGTGATGGAGATTGCCATCAGGGAGTGCGGAGAAGAAGAATCGATCTTCATGCGTCAGTAGAATAGGATACACCGTTCTTTTTCTTCGGCTAATTTTACGAGCTGATTGTATTACTACAGTGTACATACTTTCCCTCAATCCATAATACAACCATACTGAAGATTACCAACCATATTTGTGTCGTATTAATAAATGCATAAACAGAAACATTACCGAAGTTCCGGGCTCTTTCTGCAAAATAAGTTCCTAGTACTGTTCTCATCAAACCGACACGGTATGGGAGGCAAAACATGAAAATTATATATATGAATTGGCAATCTGTGACCTGGTCATTCATCCAAGTACACTACATGTTGACCAACGAATCTTCCAGGCAAGTTTGACGTCACTGGCCTCTCGCAGAAACTTATATGGTACAAACTGATCTTTAGTCTGATTGGGCCCTAGTTAATCCATATCTTGCTAGATGGGATCTGGGAAAACCAAATCTAATTACATTCTCCACGATAGACACGTTACTTTAAGCATAATCTAGCTTTCTTGAATATTTAAAACAAGTTGTAAAACTGGATAACGGCCAACTCTGTCATTCTCGGGTGGGGGGCTTTGTTATATAATTGACTCAAGTAAGTCTTTGGATCAATATGAGAAACCGACTTTAAAAATGAGGCCGGCCAAACAGGAATATGAGTACAAAAACTCTCAAGCAAGCTAGCCACTTTTTCATGGAAATGAAGGTGGTGTCGTGTGAGGTTGCTATCTCGCAGTGTCCCTCCACCGTAATTACGTGGAAGCTTGTTTTACCGAAACATCCAAAAAATACCTTGTTCCAGTGTCTAGCCATTGATGACCAGCATAGTGATTGGTAGGTAACTGTAATGTATTTCTAGTAGATGAAGATTGTTCAACAGCTCAGCTTGTTCAAAATTGTCGGATGAGAACACAAATTCTCTCAATAAAAAATCTACCAAAGACGACCAAGGAATGCTATCAAGAGCTTCTGTCCAGATATACTGCATATTTAGGATCGCCGTGCCTACTGGTTTTACTGTTATGGTTGTTTAGCAGCTTTTGTCCCTTAACCAAGTTCATACCCCCTTCTAGTCTTCTAATGGAGAAAAGTGAAGTATGTGCCCTTCTCTTTGTTTTGTTCCTTGTTGAGTTTTTTGTTTCTAGTAAAGCTCAGGTTGAACCCATCTTCTCTTGCAATACTGCATATACTTTCGCTCCGGTGAGCGCTTTTGAGCTCAATTTGATTCATACTCTCGTTTCACTTGCCGCAAATGCTTCTGTAAGTGGCTTTGTTACTGCTACTACTGGCAAAGACCATGATGTGGTATATGGCCTAATAGAGTGTAGAGCTTATATGAACCAGGGAATGTGTCAAACTTGTGCTGATACCGCAGCCCATCAAATCCGCCAAATCTGTCCCAACCAAAAGGAAGCTTTCGCCGTGTACGAAGCTTGTTCGTTGCAGTATTCATATTGGCGCTTCTTCTCAACCGTAGATAGTAGTCTAAGATTGCTGCTGTGTAGTGCTTGTAACATGAGCGACCCTCTTTTTAACAGTGTTCTGCAGAAACTACTGAATAACGTCTCATCCATGGCTGGAGCAAGTCCTTCTAGAATGGCACTTGGGAACTCATCTTACAATGAAAACAGCATATATGCTATGGCACAGTGCATTGTTACCTTAGAGGACAGCGGCTGCTCTGCATGCTTGCAAGACCTTGCTGGTTGCATCCCAGCCTCATGTCCTGGCAAACAGGGTCTTAGGATGTTAGCTCTCAGTTGCAGTCTCAAATATGAGATATATCCAATTCCTCTGTATTATTTCCCATCACCAAGACAGCCTACTCCTCATCCACCTCCGTCGCCTTCGAGAAGCCGTCATGGTGAGTGGAATATTCTCCTAGACATAATAATAGCCACTTGCAGCAAATTGCTCTAAGGAATGCATCTCGCCATGATTATCTTTCTTTTCCTATTTGGGGAGTCACAGTCATATTTCTTGAACAGCATTTCAACTATCTAGGCATGAAGTACTCATCAAATTTCCCACTAAAAATGTAAGCAAAGCGGTGTGCTTGTCCAATGAGGTGTTGGAACTTGTTTCAGGTTACGAAGCTTCACAACATTGCACGTTTATCGAATGTGGTCTAAGAAAAATAGGTTTATGCAACAAATTAGGGTTGTAAGTAGGATTCTTCTAAAAAAGTACATGTATGAATTTCATGTCCTTCTGCCGTATCAGCATTTGCTCTTCAGAGATCTCTACCAATTCGTATATTACTGAAATCAATGTATTCTTTGATAACTGTGACCAAATTTCTTTCAAAAAGATTTGTGAATGCCTGATCAACCACTTCAAAATGATATGCTCGATCATGCAGGAAGTGACAGTAAAACAATCATCATTGCTGTGGTCATTCCTGGTGCTGCTGCAGTGGCAGTCATATCCATACTCTTCAGTTACTTCATTTGGAGAAGATATTCGACAATCTTGCTTGGTAATCAATACATTCTTAGAACTGTAAATCACTCAAAATGGCATAACAAGTTTAAATTTTTCTGGGATTTTGTCCATTCCAAGCCTCCTGTAGAGATAGTCAGTTCTAACTTCATCCAAATATTTAAGCTTGTTGTGCTTCAGATAGTGGTCATGATTATGATGGTAGCAGTGAAAGCATCGCATCGCTTTTCATCAGTTTAAGAACACTTAGGGCTGCAACGGACAACTTTAATAATGACCATAAGCTTGGACAAGGCGGTTTTGGTTCTGTTTACAAGGTACTCCTTACTCTCCGCCTAGCTAATGAGTATTCATTCTGTTCATTCTAATTGGCGCCATCGGAATGCGACTTTCAGGGTAGATTGCCTGATGGACAAGAAGTAGCTGTTAAAAGGCTATCAAGTTCCTCGAAGCAAGGTTTAGAAGAGCTGAAAACAGAAATTTTGGTGGTTGCCAAAGTGCTGCATCGAAACCTTGTGAGGTTGCTAGGCTTCTGCTTGGAAGAAGGGGAGAAACTTCTCGTCTACGAATTTATGCCTAATGGTAGCTTGGACAAAGTTTTGTTCGGTAAGAATCCTTTCAATGAGAGTCCTATATCATGGAAGGTTACTGTTCTTTCGCTTATGCATATTCATGTATGAAGGCCAATGCAGAAGAATCTTCCGTTCTCCATTTAAGCTACCAATTTGAGTCCTGTTTTTTCACGCTCATAATTATTAGCAAGCGCTTGATGCAGATCATTGCAAACGGTTTAATTTAGAATGGGAGGGACGGTACAAAATAATTGTTGGAATTGCTCGAGGCCTGGTCTATCTCCATGAAGATTCTCAGCTAAGGGTTGTCCATCGTGATCTGAAAGCAAGCAATATTTTGTTGGATAAGGATATGAATCCCAAAATCTCTGATTTTGGTTTGGCAAAGTTATCCTCTGGAAGCAAGGCTCATGGAAATACAGTTCGGATTGTGGGGACATAGTAAGTCGAGACTCCATGTTTGATTATCATCAATTCTTTAGATATTCAAGCGACAGAGACCAGCAACTTTGATCAGATTGCGAGACATTAATATTACAAATGCGTTCTATAATTTCATATTCCTTTCCCAGTTCTTGTTAATGTTGTCAGAGCTGATGTTCATTGAAGACTTTGTGACATCCATTTCCAGTCAATTGTTGCATGTCTATTGTTATTGCAAAATTGTGATCTTATCTTCACGTCACTCAAACTGATTACTTGTTTATCGTATCATCTATCAATGGAATGAAGTGGATATATGGCACCGGAATACGTTCAAAAAGGACATTTCTCCCCAAAGTCTGACGTCTATAGCTTTGGCGTTTTAGTGCTGGAGATTCTGACTGGTCGAAAAAACTCGAGTTTCAGCAATGCAATAAATCTTCCAAATCATGTAAACACATACAGCACTCCTCACTTTCCGGATCCGAGAGTTTTTTGACATTTCTGTGCATTTAATCTGTTCAATGTGTCGCAGGCATGGTATCATTGGAACAATGGCACAACATCAAAGATATTAGATCCGACCTTGGGCAACAATTGGCCAAGAGATGAAGTCCTGAAATGCATCAAGATCGGATTGCTTTGTGTTCAAGAGCGTGTTGCTGATAGACCTTCAATGTCTGAGGTGATCATGAAGCTCAGTAATTACAACGCCACACCTCCTGCTCTCACAAGACCAGCCTATAACGACCCTTGAAGGAATCCTAGTCCAGTGTCAGCAAAGGAAGGTGGTGGTGCATCTAAAACGGGTACATCAGTACAAGGGTTCCTGAATGATTTTGCAATTAGCTAATTGCATCCAGTATGGGGAGCGAAGTGCATAGTGCAAAGCAGCGACAGGGTAGATTTTAGAAATAGTCGTTCACCTTCTCTTTTTCCGTAAAGCCTACAACTTCCTATTTTTTAAGGCTTAAGAGCATAACTTTTGGTTGCTGGAAAAGGCATCTACGTCGCCACCAGTAAATGTGCAGGAGAATCAATTATTTATCCAGGGAGACTGACTACATACTATGTCTTTCTTTTGTCGGCCATTACACTGGTCAATCTGGTGGTTGTGTGATTGCTCTACATTCTAATGCTCCATAATAAAACCTCACCCAAAATTATGAAATTCCACCTGTTCTCACCTATTTATGTATGTTAAATGTACTGAATTTCTAGAACAGTGCCACAGCTTTCCTGCAGATACTCTTGCCTTTTTGGCAAGAAACTCTCTTTTTCCGGCAAACACAGCAGCATTTCCAGACTAAACAAGCCTTGGGTATCTGCCATCTATTGGATTTGTTAGCTGTTCTATGTGGACCTGGGCAAGTGGTGATTAAGTTATCTTAATTTGATCGGTCTGATGCAAGATAACTAGCTTCATCTGATCGTTTCTTTAATCTCAGAAGGACCACTAGTGGCTGGAATATTCTATTTATCCTTGTGGATTCACTACAAGCACAACACCATCCCCTGTATGTTCTAACATATAAACACTAGTCATGAATCCATCAAGAACACCAACTAAGATACAATCTGAGTTTGGTCACGTGAGCCACTGGGACTCTCAGAAATTCTTACTCTAGTCTATCTTTGTTTATATAGGGCAAACTCTAGGGATCTGGAGAGGAGAATCGATTTTCATGCACCTTGCAAGTGAACTATATATTTTGTCTTTCTTTTGTCAGCTGTTGCACTGGATGATTTGGTATTTGTGTAATTGAACACAGTCTAATACTCCATGACAGAATCATACTGAATACATGTTGCACCTGTTCTGCACCTACACATGTATGTTAAACGTACTATTTTCAGAGTTCAGCACCACGCTTTCCTGCAGAAATTCTTACTTTTCTGGCCGGCAACTTTATCTCTCTTTCCGGCTAACATCTGCTATCTATTAGATCTGTTATCTTTATGTAACCAGGGCAAGTAGTGATATAGTTATCTAAGCGTTTATTGTCCAATACACGACAGCTTGATTCACTCATGCCTTCCTTTCATCTCAATAGGATCATCATAAGCATCTATTTATCATTCAGAACCACTAATACATCATCCATGGCAAGCACATAACTATGCCTCGTACAGTCTAACATACGACTGCCAATTGTGAATCCAATCAAGAATACTGGTTAGGATAAAATCGAGTTTGGTTTGACGAGCCGCTGGAGATATTGATATCCTTACATATATATTTTCTAAGGCGCAAACATAAAATCTTTGATTATACCTTTCTTTTTCAATCTCTGCTACTTGGAAAATTATAAGACAATTTCATCCAACTCTGACCCTGTTTGAGTCGCCAAACCTTGACTTAATCTTCGCTCGTGCAACTAAAAACTTGCTTCGTTCGCTGAACATGTCCCAATGCCTAGACTTTCTTGTTCGTTTAGGTTTTTAAGCTACAACATACTGCTTTTCGGGAGATCACCCCATACCTAATAATTGCATAGCAATGCACCAGGATACGAGGTGCAATATATTGGGCTATGGTAGCTTTCAGGGAAATTAAAAAAATTATTAGATGGTCAAATTGATGCTTCTTTGATAAAGACTATTCATCATTACATGTTGAAGCTAATCAAGTTACTGGAGAAATGTGACTAAACAAATAGAAAATTCGGCCGGCCAAACAGCATTATATCGGGACTCTTTGCTGCAATTTTGTACTTTACAGTGAAAATGACTGGGACCTGTTATGCTGGTCTTCCTTGAAAGTTGAATTATCATATTGTTGATTCATTCACTAGAAAAACGCGTTTTACTAACATTCAGTGGAATTCTGGTTTAGAAAATGTGGTAGTCAATCTCACGTATAACGTGATTGACTGGGACCTGTTATGCTGGTCTTCCTTGAAAGTTGAATTATCATATTGTTGATTCATTCACTAGAAAAACGCATTTTACTAACATTCAGTGGAATTCTGGTTTAGAAAATGTGGTAGTCAGTCTCACGTATAACGTGATTGACAATAGTCACCCTACATTACTTTAAGGAATTTGTTGTTGTCATGTTGAAAAAATTTCAACTTGTTCAGATTGCTTGATCAGATCATTTTGTTTGCTTATCAAATTTAAAATGACCGAAGGCTGAAAGAGGTGTATCAGAAGTTTCTATTTATTGTGAAATATGAGGAGTGAGGCATTATCCCATACTTCCAACCCATTAGCCTGTTATACCTGCCGTGGCAACTCCTTCAAACTCTCTTGGTGCTTTTAAATACTTTCAATGTTTAAACTCCCTCCTTCTGTCTCTATAATGCAGAACATCACAATGGATTCTCTTCAGTTAATCTTTCTTTTATGTCTTTTTCAAGTGTTCTATTTTAAAAAATGCCAGAATCAAAGTTTTCCCTCTTGCAATTCTGGAATCAACTTCACTTCCGGAAGCATCTTTCCAGTCAATTTGAATCTTACTCTGGCTTCTCTATTTGCCAATGCTCCATTAAACGGCTTCGCCACCAGCAGTTTCGGTCAGGATCCTAACACAGTGTATGGCCTATTGCAGTGCAGAGCTTATGTTACTAAGGAAGAATGCCAAACCTGTGCAGAAACCTCAGTCAGGGCGATCCGCCAACTTTGTCCCAACCAGAAAGAAGCTTCCATCTTGTCCATTGATTGTTCGCTTAAATATTCAAATCATAGCTTCTTCTCAACTGCTGACAGTGCTTTAATAATTTACATAACTAATCGTGCAAACGCAAGCCAACCCGCTCTTTTTCAGAGTGCTTTGGGGAACTTAATGTTAAACCTTTCATCCTCAGCCATATTGAGTCCTTCTAGATTGGTAAACCAGAGCTCTGCTTATATGGATTCCAAAACAATTTATGCTATGGTGCAGTGCACACCTACTTTGGAAGTGAGCAGCTGCTTGAAGTGCTTGCAAGATGTCATTGCTTCCCTGTCAATAGTGTGCAACGCAAGCGAAGGTTGTAGGATGTCATCTCTGAGTTGTGATCTCCGGTATGAGATGTATCCATTCTCTTTGACATATTCACCTACACCAGCGCCATCCCCGCCTAGTTCAACTACTAATTCTATAAGTCCCTCGAGTAGCGGTAATGGCAACTTTTATTTTCTCTTGCACTGAATAATTAGTCAGTGCTCACTTCAGTTCTTTATTGGTAATTTAAGACATCATGCAGGTGTATTTTACCATGTAGCAAGCAAGAAGAAAAGAACCATCATTCTTGTGGCCGTTCCTGTAGCTGCTGCAGCAGTAGTACTGATGATAACCTGCAGTTACTGCTTTTGGCGAAAGGCCCCCAAAAAAGTACTTGGTAATGGTCATATTCTTTAGCTTTCAAGTTATTGATGCTACATCGAATTAAGAATCTTGATGCCTCTCTTCGATTTATTGCATGCAAGTCATGAAGATGTAAAACTGCAGTAGTTCTCTGTCAAATATCCTTATAAAGCTATCTGAGAACATATCTCCACTTTGTTGTGAATCAGAGGGTGATCACAATCCTGACAAGAGCATTAGAAGCAACGAATCACTTGTAATCAGTTTAAGGAAGCTGAAGGAAGCAACAAGAGACTTCTCCGAGGAATATAAGCTCGGAGAGGGTGGTTTTGGTTCTGTTTACAAGGTACTCATCAGCTGATGCTCAACCAATTTATAATCTTAGTTTTCTGCACATGAATTGACTCAATACGAGAAAAATATTAGGGGAGATTGTCTGATGGACAAGAAATAGCAGTGAAAAGGCTATCGAGTAGCTCAGCGCAAGGGCTAGAAGAGCTAAAAACAGAAGTCTTGCTGGTTGCCAAGTTGCTGCATCGGAATCTCGTGAGGTTGTTAGGCTTCTGCTTGGAAGAAGATGAAAAACTTCTCGTCTATGAGTTCTTGCCCAATGGGAGCTTGGACAAAATCCTATTTGGTAATAAACCGTTTTGACATAAATTCGTTGAGTGTGAAAGCTTACTATGTGATCGAGCATCATAATTTTTATGCTGACTTCATCTTCACTATGTCTTGAAATGCCCCATATCACCTAGGCGTCAGAGTTTTATTGTTCCTTATGATCACCTTCAGGGGATACAAAAGCAACTTCATATGCACTGTCCTCTCATTTCAAGTGACATTGTTCTCGGTTTGTGTTTGGATGCGGATGCAGATCAGATCAAAAGGTTTAGCTTGGAATGGGAGAGACGTTACAGAATCATAGTTGGAATTGCACGCGGCCTACTTTATCTGCATGAGGATTCTCAGCTGAGGATCATTCATCGAGACTTGAAAGCCAGCAACATACTCTTAGATGAGAACATGAACCCCAAAATCGCCGATTTCGGTTTGGCCAAGTTATTCTTTGGAAGTCAGACTCAAGGCAATACAATGCGAATTGCAGGAACATAGTAAGTCATGAGTTCTGTTATGATTACCGATCAATTTCAACACACGAGTATAATGGCACAACTCTGCACGCATGCACAAGCACAAGAAGTTCTAGTTGGTAATGCGTAAGATCATGGAAGTGATTGTTATCCGGCCTTCACATAACTCACTGGAATGATTTCTATGCTCTTTGTTTGTGGCGAGAAGTGGATACATGGCTCCAGAATACGTTCAGCACGGACACTTCTCCACTAAATCCGATGTCTATAGCTTTGGTGTCCTGGTGCTGGAGATCGTAACAGGTCGAAAGAACTCAAGTTCCCTTAATCCAGCTAATCTTCAAAGCCATGTATGTGTTTCACATCATTGCCTTCTTTCTTGAAAATGCAATATTGCATTAGTATGTGGGCGTGGAAATTGTATTTGCATGTTCAACTTGTCGCAGGCATGGCAACATTGGGCAAATGGAACGGCTTTAGAGCTCCTAGATCCCACCGCAGGCGATCAGTTCCCGAGGTACGAAGTCCTGAAGTGCATCCAGATTGGCTTGATGTGCGTTCAAGATGGTCCTGCCGATAGACCTTCGATGTCCGAGGTGATCATGATGCTCAGCAGTTACACAATCTCTTCTCCAGCGCCTGCAAGACCAGCCTTTTATGTCCCCATGGAGAAACAGGAACCAGGCTCAGCCAAGGGAAATTCCAATTCATCTTCAAGTGATCAGTTCAAAACTTCATCTGTGCAAGGATCTGTAAATGAGGTTACAATTAGTGAATTTTATCCACGGTAGGGATCAAAGAAGTAGAACCCTAGTGCCAAATGCAAGGCTTTGTTGACCATTAATGTTAAATTCTCCTTCTATTCTTTTTTTTTTTTCCCTCTTTGGTTCTTTTGGATTTGCCTAGCTACTCTAAGCCATGCTTGACTAGAATAATACTGGTTTCGAAAACCAACCAGTTACTGATTCGCGTACAGTGCGATTGACTAGCAACAGTGCTACCTTCTAAGAAGGTCATATGGTCATTGTCTTACTAAATAAATTTCAAATTGTTTGATCAGATGATTTCGTTTGCTTCTTACTATAAAATGATGGCAGGCCAAGAAGGGATTATCAGAAGTTTGTCTACTATTGTGAAATGTTGAGAGGGAGCCATTGACTTTTCACATTCATAATCTAGCACAATCAAAGTACTTACATCCGCTGCAGCGACTGCTTCTAACTCTTCTAGTATAAAATTTCTAATCAGAACTCCGACACCCTCTTCCTCGTTCCGCCATAAATGCTCTCCGGCCACTCTTTCTTTGATGTATTTTTCAGGTGCTCGGGTTTACGAAATCCAGTTTAATATAACCTCTTGCAACATGTAGTCAGTTTCCTCAATCGTACGAGCTGGCTCAGTTATTCGAGCTCTGAGAGGGTTTGACGATGCATCTGAAGATTTACTACTACGGATAAACGGAAAGCTGTCAGAACTCAAAATATAGAGAAACGAATGAAGCCAATGATATAAGAAGTGGAAACCGCAGAAAGAGTGTTGACGCCACCAAGTTATTATTTCAGACATGTGAAATGTGTTTACCAAGTTGTCCAGCATGGGCTTGGACAGCGAAAATCACCTAATCAATTCTAAGCCTATCGTACGAATGTCAATTCAGTATTAAACTTTACAATTTTGCCAATTTAATCCTAAATCTTTGTACGAAATTTCAATATAATCCTTTTAATTAATTTTCGCCGAAGAACGCTAACGTGACACGCTGACACGTCAGAGATCTCCGGCAAAAATTGGCTGGAATGACTATATTGGAATTTCATGCAAAGATTCAAGGCTACATTGGCAAAAGTGGAAAGTTTAGGACTGAATTGACATCCGTGCAATATGTCTATAACTGATTGGATAATTTCCCCGCTTGCACCGGAACAAAGGGTACAAATAATGCGAGCTAGTCGCCTAAGTTGACGTTGCTCGGACATCAAATTTAGTCAAGTTCCAACTTGCTTATACTAGATAGGGGTTGCTTGATATCACAATCAATTAATTGAATTTGTACATTCTGAATATATTTCGTGAACACAAATGTTAGAAACCAATGCATTGTATACTTCTCAAGATTTTTGTGCTTTAACTACTCGAGTTCAATCTGAGCTTTAAGTTTAATTATAGGGGGGAAAAATAGTTCTTGGCCATGGAGTTGAGCCGAAATGAGGTTGACCACAAGAAGACTTCATCAAGTTGATCTCGAACTTGGAGAGTTAAATTATTGTCGATAATGATAATATTTACATTGACTAATTATTTCAAACAATACAGGCTATTATTTTTAAGAAAATATTTTCCGAATAAGTCGTTTTTCACGAAACAAACAGTAACCATGGTATGTTCGCGGAATCAATAAAGCCATGGACTTGAACAAGAGCAGGTGCCAACTTTTGCAACAGCTGCCATCATAAAAATAAGTCAATCAACGACAAAACCTACTACTCTTTTTATGATATCCGTTGCTGTGCCTCCTCCTTTGGTAGCTTTAGAATGTTTCGTTTTGATACCAAAACGGTGGGTTAGAAGCAGGATTAGGTATACTTCCCCAGACAGAACTCCTACTTCACATGGATCCCATGAACTACTCCTTACTTTGTTCTCGATTGCTTTACATTTTTATTCGGCTAGATTAGAGTTACCGACACTAGCAATTTCAGAATATGGGCACTGAACTTAACCCGCAAGAACCCTAAAAAATTTTCTTTGAATTTAAGCTATCGGAATTTCTGAGAAATATTATTTGCGAAGATCGGCCACGCAGCCTTGTGACACCTTAAACGAGTAAAAGAACAAAACAAAATTGAACTTAAAGATTGATCAATATGGAGAAAGTATGAAGATATTTATTTGGTAAAAGCCCGTCTCTGCATGATCCTCGAACCAACTCCAACATGCTGAGATACAGTGGTGTAGTATCTTCTATTCCATCAGACCACTCGAAAGATCCCTTCTCCTTTCTATATATAGATGAGTTGCTAAGTCGAACTGAAACCAACTCGCAACATTCTTCCACCTTCTGTCCTAATCAGTTCGCTTCAGCTGCTTCGCTATTTCGCTCTTCTTGCAGTTCAAGATGGGCATGCCGAGAACCTTTCTAATGTCACTCCTGTTTGCCACTGTGCTTGTTGAAGCCACGGCAACTAATTACGTGGTTGGAGGTCTAAACGGCGGTTGGGACATGAACACTGATCAGACTACTTGGGCATCATCTCAGACATTCTTAGTAGGAGATAATCTGAGTAAGTTGCATCCGTTTCACACGTCTTGATATCATTCAACGTTGTATTGACATAAGATCATCCAAGCGTTTATATTATCAAATAATTCAATCAACTTGCTGCTGTTTCCAGTTTTTCAATACTCACCTGGCCATGACGTAACCGAAGTTACCAAGGGAGACTATGACTCCTGCCAAGTGACTAGTCCTATCCAAACTTACACAAGTGGTTCCACAGTCATCCCTCTCACATCTCCTGGGAAAAAATACTTCATTTGCAGTTCACCCGGACATTGTGCAGCTGGAATGAAGCTCCAAATTAACACGCTGACGGCTTCATCAACCACATCACAATCTCCTGCCACTTTGCCTACTCTAGGACCTGTCTCAGCTCCATTACCTGCTACAGTGGTTGGTCCTGTTTTGCCTTCAGCTCCAGAAGCATCTTCGCCGTTGATGACGTCTCCATCAGAATCAATTCCTGCATCGTCACCCGAGGTTTTCATCACTCCCCCGAGCCATGTTTCAGCGGAATCGGTGACTTCGTCAGCTACAGAGGGCAGTTTTCCCAGCACTCTAGCTGTGGGCTTGAGCTTTTTCAGCGTGTTACTTATTGCCCAAAAAGCATCTTAAAGCTACATGTTGACCATGGAGACTTGTGTGGTGCACTGTTCTGTGATTTTTATCTTTCCGTGCTTCGATGTACTGTTGGCAAGCAAATTCTTTGAGATTAATGAGTCTATGCTGTTAGCAATTGGACAAGCTCTTTCAAGATTTTATTCGAGAAGAGGACCGTATTAGTTCAGAGAACTGCAAACAGCATGCTGACTAGGTTTGTGGTGTGCATATTATGAATCGAGGCACAAGCACAGCCACACCGAACAAAGAATCTCTTGCCCCTAGAAATGTAGAGGCGGTATCTTAGCCCTTTTTGTGAAGTGCTGGTAAGAACATTCATTTGCTCCATGCAAGAGTCGAGAGATAAAAAAGCTATAATGAGAACAATTTCGAACAGTTTCAGTAGAATTCAATCTGACCGACCAAGACTACGAACTAGAAGTTTTCAAACAAGAAGTTCTGTCTTATTGCATTTTACATGGCAACAGTACGTCTATACTACAATGGATGAGAAACAATGGTGATATCGGTCCGCAAATTAGATCATCCACCTCATCAAGTTTTTCCACTTTGTGGAAATCCAATGTAGAAGGTCGAAGAAACAACACAAACATTAGCACACGAATCCTAGTAAGACAGACTACCAGATGATTTGTGTCTGCTGATTAAGCAACAGGAGGACGGAGTACGTGATCCTGCGACGTGTCAACTGCAGCAGGCGGCATAAATTGCCACATTGCCATGCCAGGGAAACCGATATAAGGCATCAACTTGTTGCCACCTGCTCGCTCTTGAGCAGCAAAAGGTGTCGACAGTGCAGATGGATGAGGTGGAAAAACTGGATGAAAGCTCATGGCTTTCAGCTGTTGCTCCAATTTCTCTTTATCTGACTTTAGCCTCTGTTTCTCATCGCGAAATTCATTCTTCTCAGCCTAGGTATGTAAAGTACAATGATCAGTGCGCTATTGCTATCTTGACTTCTTTAAAAGAATTTTTTGTAATACACACGAAGAGTATGTAAGAAAGCGGTCATCCCTGCCTGATCAGCAAAATACAGAGTGCACTAACCAACCTCACCTTTAATTCTTTTATTTTCTCTTGCAATTCCTCATTCGACTCCTTGAGTTTCTGCGCTTCATTACGCAGCTGGGTAACCATGCGAACAGCATCACTCAAAAGGGCAGACTTGTCCGTCTTGGGTGGCCTTCGAGGCTCCAAGATAGAACCCAATTCTAGGAACCTTGAAATTGAGCCAACTTGATGTGAGAGCCGCTAGGTAGAAAAATTACAGAGAGAGAGGAATGGAAGAACAACATGCCTTTCATTTAGCCTATCCCTTCGAAGTTTCTCCCGGCATGCTTTGGAACCAGATGCGAGGCATGCTTCAGATTTCAGTCTACAGAAGCATTAGCATAAGTTTTAGTCTCTTGCACAAGATATGAACCCATTCTCACCAAATAATTATTTGAATATTATAGGAGCTATATCACTCTTGATTAAGCTGTGGAGGAAATACACTGTGGTAAAGGAATGAAAAATCACGAGTAATATGAGACTGCTAGTTGACTGAGAATTATGCAAACCAACATTCTTTCGGTTGCCAGGAAAACCCATACCTTTTGCGACAGCTCATGCCCTTGAGGTTCCCTGAATCCCTAGTAGATGCACGGTTGACCTCTATGCTGGAAGCAGTACAACAAGAAACCAGACGTCAAGAAGGATAAAGGGGGACAGAGAAATAAAGAGCCGATCGAGAGTTCCACTATCCACTGCTTGCTTATAGCTAGAGGGAGTACCATAAGGTCTATCTTAGCTCAAATCAACAATAAGGAATTCCCTTCAACCCGTCCAGGATACCGATGAATATGAGACCATTACGGCAGATTGAGGTTCTGGTATTAGTTCAGGGCTCATCGACCCAACACGGCCACGCTATAGCTATCAGCCAATAAGAGCTCTAACATCTACCTCATCTCATCAAAGCCGACAGCATCATAGGAAGTTCTAACAAATAACTACTAAGAATCCCGTTTCCCCAAAGCATGGCAACTTTGCCATCGCAGGTACTTCCCAATCTGTTGATGATACGCGTCTAATTGTTAAACTCATCTCGTGCCGGAGTAAACAAGATCCTCAAATCTAATCCCGAAGAATCATCTTGATTTGAATCTCTCTCACATAAAACATATATATAGGCCCATTATTCCCAGTCAACCAAACTATCATTCTCAATAAACGCTCCTTCGGCCCTTCCTAGTGACTTCGTGGGTAAACAAATTTGCCACAAAACCAAAGCAGCCAACAAAAACTATCACTTTCTTGCTTCTGCAAGCAAGGAGGCGGGTCAAAACATGCCAAAACCAACTGCTTTTACAAGTCTCCACCGTCCAGAGGCCATAGACTACTGAAAAACCTCGGAACAGAGTCCAAACATTCTTCGAGCTCCGAAGATTCTCCGGTCACGCCGGCTCGCTCGGCTCAAACAAGAGAAACGGAGATAGAAACGGGGAAGAGGAAGAGAACCCACCTGGCATTGGAGGAGGAGACGTCGAAGGACGGAGAGGACCAGGCGAACCCGGGAGAGGGAAGGACGTCCCCAGCCGAAACATCCACGAGCCCGTAATCGACGAGCCAGTTGGAGTTGTCACAAGGGTCGATCTCCATCGGGTTCAGCACGGTCGTGGGGAAGCCTTCAGACCCAGAAGCAGAAGAAGAAGAAGCGTTGAACTTGGAAAGTAGGAGCTCGAAATGGAATTGTATGGCGTGAAGTCTCTGAAAACAGAGGAAATGGAAAAGGAGAGGGAGAGAGAGAGGAGGAAGAGAGAGGTGGGGGCAGTGACGGCAGACCGAGCGTCACCCGCAAGCGACGTTTTTCTGCGCGCTCGCCAAAAGGGTTTTCAAGATTCGCTGCTCCCGAGTATACACCAGCCTGCTGCCTCGTGCGTAGGATGCGCACGCGTGTGCTTTTTACACGGGCCGCGCCACACCTCGAGATGCAGACGGGCCCGCCACCGCCCGCCTCCGTCATCGTCGCCGGCGAACCACCGACCCATGCCGAGCCATGCCTCCGGTCGTCGCCCTCGCCGTCTCTCTATGTTGCCCTCGTTGCCTGCAGCATGGCTCATAATGGACGGAGAGCTCGTACCTAATCGCCGTCGTCGTCGTCTTCTTCTCTGCTCGTCTCGTCGATGGACGAGCTCATGCCGGGTTATCGGATTGTATATCATGCCTTTTGTCTCCGTATGTCCAATAATAGGGTTGAGGTCGCTAATACTTTTTAATCATGTATGATGTTGCTGTCGCGTAAATATATTGTGCCCACCATCGATGGCACGGCTCACGGTCGGAGCTTGAACGTGTTATTCTTTCATTTTCTACTGTCTACTATCAACATTCATGGGTAATCGTATTTACCTTTTCGGTGCTACGAAAACGGGTCGTACACCAACCGTTCTTTCGATGACACGAGCTTTTAAATACCTAATTCTTTTCCCCTTTTGGAGTGATAAAATGAGTTGAGCTTCTCTTACCTCGAAAAAAGAATAAGTTGTGCCTCATCTGTTGAAGTTTATGTGCACGAAATAATTGATTCGAACCTCAACTTAGACTAAATTCTCTAAAATCGATTAACAATCACAGTGCAAAAAACCAAAATAAATCGAAATGAAAGGAAAAAATAAATAAAAAGAAATCATTTCCAAAGACGCTGCTTTTCGTGACGCAAGACATTTATTATGAACATAATGTTATGTTGAGCGAGATAAATAATTAGTGACGCAAAGGAGGAGACCCGATTCGAAAAAAACAATCGCATCAACGTCCCATCTCACGCGACGCTCAAAACTATATGCATAAAATAAAAGGTTGGATGGCAATGTCATGTCAACCGTGCTTTGCACTAATAAAAAGATTTCAATAAGATGAAATTATTATAAGTGCCCACCATGATAACACCTTAGTCTCCATACATCACTTATATGAACGATGGGCCAAATTGACGATTTGCAATTAGTCCTTCGTTTCTCGCAGATTCGTGTCGCTTCATCGCCACCACAGAAAAAAGATGGGGATTAGATTTTGGAAGATTAAGACATCGAGAGTCTATGATGTTTCGCAGATCGTGAGAGTCTGGCGTGAGATTTTTGTCCTCTTTTAATGTATGAAAATTTTTGAAGGTGCATCGGATCCATGGGAGTTGATTTACCATGGCCCTTAAATTGCGTTATGAAACTCGCATGATGTAACATTGTGAATTTTAAATGTGGAAAAATAAGCTGACAGCCCATTAATTTTTTTTCTAACTCAAACGAAATCGGGTCATAGAATATGAATAATTCAGCTAATCCAGAGAACAAAATAAATAATGAATCTGTAACAGCACTCACTTTAGTCCTCCTTATTGATGTTTCTATATCCAAACAGTTCGATATAGGTCAACAAAGGATTATATTTATTATCGTGAAAAAGCAGAGAGAAGACAAATAGATAAATAAAAAGATAATAACACAAACAGTTCCTGAACTTTGGCTCAATTTGTAGTTTGATCCCTAAACTTTTAATTTGTTCAACTTGGTCCCTGAACTTTTAGTAAATGTTCAATTTAGTCCCTGAATTATATGAAAATATACAATATAGTCCCTGAACTTGAATTGATGGAAGGACTACATTGATCATTTTTATAAAGTTCAGGGACTATATTGAACATATACCAAAAGTTCAGGAACCACATTGAACAAATTAAAAATTTAGGGATCATATTGAACATTGGGTTAAAGTTCAGGAACTACATTGAACAAATTAAAAGTTTATGGACTAAATTGCATATTGAGTCAAAGTTCAGGACTATTTGTGTCATTTTCCCACAAATAAAAAAAAGTGTTTAACAAAGATGGAGATGCGGGGTATCGATCCCCGTACCTCTCGCATGCTAAGCGAGCGCTCTACCATCTGAGCTACATCCCCTTTTTGTACCTTCTTCCCTTGTTTATTATTATATATATATTAAAAAACGGATTTGGCAACTTCTCACGTAGCGAAAACGATAAACGATTCAATTGCACTATTTTGGAATGCTTGTTGACGTTTAATGACACCCTGCCGCATGCTCTTCCCCTGCGGAAATTCGTATTAGTTTTTCCAGCCACAAAACTCGCGATGCTAAATCCACCGATGGGCGTTGCTCATTTTGACGGACGGACGAGCGGGTTTGGTGCTTCTACGATTAGTATCGGTTTCGGTCCAGGAGACGCTGAAGGACGGTTTTCGGAAGGTTTGTCTTTAACCACTTCAATGTTTTGCCTTTTTTGTCCCTCCTCTTGGACCAGCCCCAGGTTTGCCCCCGGTGCCATTTGGGGTCTGTACTGTACAGTGAGTAAGATGCTATTATGTTTACTGATGCTTGAGGTTCAGTTTTTTGGCAATTTAATCATGCAATGAATGGATGCCCTCAATTTCCTTCCAAGAGCGTTGACTGAACTGGCCTAAAGATGGAAGCTTGACAATTGGCTAACAGAGCATGACTCGCACTTTGCATGGCCTGGAGAGTTAATGCATCCTCTCATCTGTTGTTGGCTTATATAATCCCTCCACTGGACTCTTACTTAGCCACAGCCAAATCTTTTCCTTATCGATTCCCATTCCTTTCGTCTCCTTCTCGCGTCGCCATGGGCCGTAAGAAGTTGACGGTGAAGAGGATCGATAACCCTGCCGGTCAGCTAGTAACCTATAGGAAGCGCAAGGATGGGATTGTCAAGAAGGTCGCCGAGTTATCAGGGTTGTGTGGCACGGATGTCGGCCTGATAATGTTTTCTCCGAATGGTCGAATGACTAGCTGTGCCGGCAGCAGCAGGTCCATTAATATAAAGTTCTTTCATTTGGTGAATTCTTCTCTTTATCTTATCATCCTTGGTTTCCTTGTTCATCATAATTTATCAAAACAAGATCTTTCTCACAGTGTCGAGAATGTCTTTCTACGATATCTCAACCTGCCCGATGTGTTGCGAGGAGGGTATGTTTGATCTCTTCTCTATCTTTTCCGATCAATCTAAATTTGATGTTTTCCTCACGATAATTATCTTGCATCGCAGGTCGGTCGAAAACCAAGAGGTGAGTAAAAGTTCTCTCTTCAGAAACTGTATTTTAGCTTCATTACTTGCATTGGTTAGTATGAGTTTAGATTAAACAATGGCCATGGAGTTCAATTTCTCTAGTGCTGGGTCACGATTCGTGTTTACAGGTTTTGCGTCAAGGCCTCAAACATGTGAAGTGTGAAGCACAAATGCTCGAAGCCATGACGAAGTAAGTCTAAAGATACTCCCTCCTGAGAACAGAAAACAAGAACAGAGAGTGGGAAAACTCAGTTCATTCTCATCATCTTTTACTGCTTTATACCTAATGAATTGTTTCTCCTTCATTTGATTATATGATGAACTCATCGGTGACGGTCCAACTGCCTTCAGAATGCAGGTAAATCAATTGATCTAAGATCGCTACTCTTGGCTGAAGCTGACCTGCCAATCAATCAAAAGATTATTGACTTCGATTTTAATATTTTTCGCAGGCTCTCGAGGAAGAACTCAAAGTGCTTAATCGGCAACAAGCTGAAGCACAGGAAAATATCAGGTTTATGAAGTTTACTTATGTCCTGAAACTTGTAGAGTCAATTGAATAATTTGGTCTGAATGTGATTGAATGTATTTGATCCACTTTGCTGTGATGCATGTTGAAATAGATCTTACCATCCAGAGCTGGAAGAAATAAGATCGGTTCGAGAAGCTGAAGTGCACATAAGGTTCCTTAACGATGCTATCAGGCGTATACAACATCTGAAAGTGAGTTTATTCATTGGTCGCGTTCTTTCTTACATGTGTGCTGGACTTGGAAATAACAGGGATTGTTTGTCTACCAGCAAGCAAAATTGTCAATGAACGAGCTTCTGCCTCAAGAATCTGCCAGTTTTGAGGTATCATAAAATAAGTATACCCTGCTAAACACTGATCGGGCACAACTTAGTCGAAATCTTGCGTCATGTCTTGATTGAATATGTTGCGACCAGTTATCAGAGGGTGTTCTAATTAATGACTATACTCTCGCTCGTATCTTCCCGAATTGAAGTCTGAAAATGGAGGAAAGTTCATGATAAGGAATGCCAGCCCATTCCCGCGATAGCTTACTCTGACGAGAGTAACCAGAAGAACTTGACTACACCAATAACACCGATTCATTATCTTTCTTATTGAGTTCCTTTTTCTTCTCCTCCTCTAAAAGCCATTCTGGTGTTTTCTTGTTTCCAGGTACCAGCTGCATCAGTCTGGGATTCAAATCGGGCAACTAACAATTCTGCATATTCTATCCAGAAGAGGTATTGCTCTATGAGTGATTCCGCGGGCATTCTTTGATTAGGAATCCGTCTGTGCACTTGCATTTTCCTCTCATCACGTACTCAATCAGCTATACCATTTTCGCCTTTAGCACTTCAGACAGATTAGTGACTCCTTCTCACGCTAGATGACTGCAAATTCATGCATAATCCAATCAATGGCTTGTCGGGAAGACATCGGATCTCACTCCCGTTTTATGCAGGGACCGTTCCGATGACGAGCATCGAGGTGAAGCGGCACAGCACATGAGCATTGGCCACTTGAAGCCGCAAGCTGAGTGGAACATTTCAAAGGGTGCCTCGACTCGAGGACCGAACCTTCAGTTTGCTCTCCAAGGAAATCGAGGAAAGGGTACCGAATGCTAAATAAAGTCGATTAAGTCTATCGGCCTCGGTCGTTCTCGAGTTCAATGAAAACATTTTCCCGGTCAAGGATTTGATGATGGATGTGTTGGATTGGCTTCTTCTACAGCTCCGAGTGACAACACTGTGCCTAAACCTAAAGTCACCCAACTTCAGCATTTAGAACTTACAAACTGCAAGAAGACCATTTCAGATCTGCCTCAATTTGATTCTCTCAAAGCATAATACATTCAACTACGAATCACAAACAAACTAGAGAAGCGACTTTCGGACCAAATAATAAGCTTCTTGGTCTTCTTGCAGACGTCTTCCTCACCCTACAATAATAGAATCAATCACACCAATGGACGTTCGTCTCAGGGGAATCGGGAACTGAACTGGGAACCGGCAGGTCCTTAGAAATGGAATTGGGAACCGGACCATCTCTCCCTAGAACCTAGAACCGGACCGGTGGGAGTAGTTTCCGGTTCTACCCTAGAGCCATGCTCGCCCCCACGTCTCACACAAAAACCGCAAAATCAAAGCTTCAATTCACACAAATGAACAGAGGTTTCCACTCACGTCCTGAGATGAGATCTTGAGCCAGCTCGGAGGGGTTTCATTTATCTGCTCCTGGACACGAAATGGGCCGGGAGCACCTGCGTTATATCGAAATGGGCCTAGGCCCAACAAGAAATTGCAAAGTGGGCTGAGCTTTTCTGTGATGCTTGCTGTCGCAAAAACATGAATGTTTTGGTGGCAAACTTTAAGCATCACTAACAAATGGTTTGGAGGGAGCAGATGAAACACCTTTTTTTCTTTTTAAAGATGTTGAGTTCTAGGACTCGCAAATCACTCGACTAATTTCCTCGAGTAGAAATGACAAAATGGACCAAAACCCTTTTGTTTAACCGGTATTTAACGGGTCAGGTGATAAATAGATTGCCTAAAATTTTAAGAACGGGTTCGGATGAGTCTAAATGATAAGTGCCTAACTTCATATGGGTCTTAACGGTTGGGAGCATATCAATTTCGAACTCATTTCTATTTCACTATTAAAAGAAGAAATTGAAAAAGGGAAGAAAAAAAAAAGATAGAGAAATGGTTCGGAGAGAGAGAGAGAGAGCGTGAGCGGGGTAGATAGAGCAACGCGGCGGCCACTGATGGTGGCCACCACCGTTGGCAACCTCACAGTAAGTTAGCACTTAAGCACTATTTGAAAAGGCTCAAGCTCGTGACCAAGTTGCGCTAGATTGCGAAATGCACGGACAGAGAGAGAAGTTCCAAAATTGGAGGTGATGACTCGGTGACAAGTTGACCACGATAATGGCTTAGCGACAGTTTAGCCACAGCGACGATCCAACAGAAACAACGGCTCATCAGTTGCCAAGACGACGATTCTTTTTTTTAATTTATTTATTTTCTCAGTTATTTTATATTTTGAAGTGCAAACATGCTATCTTGATTTGTTTTTCGCCCACCATCCTTTTAATTTATTAATTCTTCTTTTCAATTTGATGTTTGATTTTACCCAACTAGTAGGTATATATAGTTCTTGTTATTTCTGTCGCACCGGTACAAATTTGAGGTTCTGGCAACACAAAAAAATTTAGAGTATCGGTGTCAAAATAAGCACGGTAATATTTTTCCCCTTTTTCTATGTGTAAGCGCTATTGTTTTCATCTCATGTGACGACTGGGCATTTCGCAATACAAACGCCTTAAATTCAATCAAGTCTTCCTGGAAAGGGCCTGATTCTTGAAGGGATAAAGTCACTTAAGTAAAGTTTACACACTTTGTGGTCAAGCTACTAATGTTAAGTAAGCTCCGTCAAGTTTCTTTTCTCCTTTGGACAACTGCAAGGAAGCCGTCCACGTTACCTCAAAGAGTCGTCACCATCATGCACCTTTGATTAATGCTTGTGGGGGAAAAGAAGACAAAAAGAGACAATAATGCATATGATCAAAGCTCATTCTTGCACTCCTTAGAAAGAGGAAATGGAAGCAACTCGTAAACACAATCAATGCCCCACATCTCTAATTGAACAGTACTTTGAAAGAGACCTCTATCTATTTACAGCTCCTCTGCGCTAATCCATCCACCACTCAAATTTACAGCTTTTGGGTGACCAATTAACCCCATAAAGAAGAAGGAAAAAAAAGAAGAAACCGAGGAGATGTGTAGCGCAAACGCCGGTCTCATCTCAGATCATGAACGGCGTCGGCGAGAATGCTGGCATGAACATCGATAACGGGTTCGGCCTGCAAAAGACGGAGCGCTTCTCGTTTAGCAGATAATCCAAAAGTTGCTCAAGTAGCGACGGAAACATGATTCCAAAGGACCGGAGAAGATTCTATTGAACACATAGTGCCTAGTAAGTCATGACCCCATTCCGGTCATTGTTACTCGCAACACATCCCTCCCTATTCAAGATCCAAAATTTTATGAGACGACCCGCTCTTACCGGTGCACTAAACATAAGAATCGATTCATCTTCCAAGGCTCCGATTTATTAGCCAAGGAGAAAGGTACAAGTGCAACCTTATGTAATTTGGGAGTAGTATTTTGTACATTAAGATAAGATTGACTTGGTAAACAAACGTCTTATTTATATGGTGTGAAACTTAGGTGTGCTACTGAAACAGAGCAAGCAATCCTTAATTTTCTAAACCGCAAAAACAGGGCAGAAAAAGAAGGGCCAACCAAACAGGGAACGCCTATCCGGAACGAAACCGGAGGAACAGATAAAGGACGACAAGGCCGCGAGAAAACCGTTTACCGGTAGTCTTCTCTGTCGCCGAAGCTCTGAGCTCTCTTCGCCGCCGACCCGCCCTTCGGGGGCGGCGGCCTCTTGACGGCGGCGTTCGCGCCGCGCCCCCTGCTCTTCGCCTCTGCCGCCCGGGCGGCGGCTGCGGCGGCGGCGACGTCGCTGTCCTCCGAGATGGCCGAGAGCGCCGGGCGCCAGTGCGCTCCCCGCGTCGCCCCTCGTCAGCCTCCTCCCGCCGCCGGTCGACCTGCGCCTCCGCCCGTCCAAACCGCCCCCGCCCCCGTACGAGAGCGGGGGGCGCGCTTCCTCCCGCAGCATCGGACCGGGGTCGGCGTCGCCGTCGCCGTCGCCGCCGGCGCCGGAGCGGTAGCACGCGCGCAGGTCCGAGAAGAACTTCATCGGAAGGATTCGAAGCGCTTCGGAGTTGGATTCGAAAGGGGTGTGTGTTCTTCGGATCGCAGGGGAAACAAGTCGGAGAGAGAGACAGTGTTCGTCGCTATTTATAGAGGGAGATACGTCTGCTGACGTGGCGCGTTTGCCACGCTGGCTTCGTGAATTTGCAGGTGCGTTTTTGTCCTTATCCTAGAGTACAAAACTCCGATTCCTCGATTCAAGCCGTTGACCCACGAACGAAACACAATTTTCACGTAATCGACATGTTTTTGCCTCGCCCACAAATTCCACGTCGTACGTTGTAAAATTGTCATTTGCAAGATCAGCGAAGTCGTTTCCGTCATTAAAGATTCGAATAATTCGAATGAATAGATATCGTTCGTAGTCAAGACACTGCCCGGATGAACTGTTAGCCCGAAATTTGATTGTTCTCGAATATGTCGTTACGGGAAAAGGAAGGATTCGAATTTTTTGATGTCGAAGCGTCGCGGGCTTTTGCTCTCGCGGGGCGAAGCGTCCCTTGGAGGCGGAAGTCGCGATCAATTAGATCAAGGTCTCCACACAAAAGAAGAAAAGGGTCTAAAATGGCAATTTTCTATTTTGTCGATGGATGGTAATTTCATTGGGGACGCTTTGTAAATGATTCAAGCGACAAGACAACGATGGCTTTTCTAGCGTTGCTTTTGAAAACGAATGCTCTCTCTTTTTTTTCCGGCTATCCATTAGATAGATCGTAGAGCCCATCGGAATCAACATACTTGAAAGTGGACTTACCAAATCTGTGGGCTCTAATATTGATCGGGATTTGACGTTCTTCGTTTCTCGAATCTCAAATTGTCTAGATCAAGCTACCAATGACAAGTCCTTCCAAGTTTTATGAGCAGTCGTTGTCGAGATGTCGACACCAACTTAGGATCGAGGGGCAACAGTATCCGATCAATCCCAAACCTATTATATGGATGCCGATTCAATTCTAAATATTTTAATTTTGTCAATTCAGCTCTCAACTTTTGCGCGAAATCCCAATGTAGTCCTTTAGGCCAAGTCTCGCCGGAAATCGCTGACATGGCGATGTGTCACGTAGGACGGTCAGAGACGACTGGACCGCTATATATGTCGACGGTTTCCGACAGAATTTGGACGGAAGTACTACATTGAAATTTCGTGAAAAGGTTGAAGACTATATTGGCAAAATGAATAAGTGCATCAAAAGTCATAAAACTTGTTATGAAAATGCAATTGAATCCTAACACTTTCAAAAAGTGTAATCAAGTCCTAAAACTTGTTGTGAGAGTGTGATTGAATCCTAAAACTTTCAAAAAGTGCAATCAAGTCCTAAAATTTGTCAAATTGGTCCAATATAGTCCTTCCGTTAATTGCGATTTTCGAAAATTTTAGGACTCGATTTCACTTTCGTGATAAGTTTTGGGACTTGATTACACTTCTTGAAAGTTTTAGGACTCAATTACACTTTCATGATAAATTTTAGGACTTCCAGTGCACTTATCAATTGGCAAAATTAGAAAGTCCGGGACCAACTTGACAACCATCCAACAGGTTTAAGATCTATTGAGTGATGATCTTATCCCTAGATTCGAGAGATGTCTAGTGATCTACGAAAATTTAAGTACATGATCGATAAAGTCAAATTGCAGCTTTTGCCTATACAAGTCTAAATGAATAGCCTAAGGATTCGATGGCATGTCATAACATAAAGGCGATGAACATTAGCTGGCAAATTAGTCCGGTTAATCCGGGGTTAGTCATCGACTCAATCACCCAATTCCCTTGATGACTATAATAAACATATGGTACACCACATGTATAGTTTGATCCCTTCGTGTTCCATGCGCTAGATTAATAAAAAAGTGGATGTCAACCGTCCCAACCAAGCAAGTAGAACAAAATGTTGACTAAAGAAAGCAAAGAGAAATAATAAAAAAAAAAAAAGGAGGAAAATAATTTGCTGTCCCAATTAAGAAAAAAAAGAAACGTTCGTACACATGAGCGTCGATGGCTTGGGTAGAGTCAACTGCACGAGTAAAGCATCATCAAGTCGTGACGTAGCGCCTGCCATTCCCCTGTATAACACGTTTGGGACGAAGTCGTTCTTTTCATGTGCGCTCGCACTCCAACGTATGTAATTGAGAAACTCGACCAATCCCATCGAGCCGCGATAGCTTCCTCGTCCCTGATAATCGTGTCATTACAGGAGCTAAAAAAGTCCGTCGAGATAATAATTTTTGCCGAGACTCGGATCCATGAATCGCATACATCCGGGGAAATTACCCGATCGGCCCTAAAATCATCGTGCGGATGCCAGTTCTGATCCAAACTTTTCAAGTTTGCCTACTCGATTCTAAATCCTCGCGCGAAATTTCAATGTGGTAATTGCGTCCAATTTTCTCCGGAAAACTCCGACTTGAAAAGTTTGGAACAGAATTGCATCCATGCAATAGGTTTAGAACTGATTCTTTGGTTGGATAAGCGCATTGAAAGTCTTAAGATTTGTCACGAAAGTGCAATTGAGTCTTACAACTATCAAAAAGTACAATTAAGTCTTAAAACTTGTCACGAAGGTGCAATCGAGTCATGAAACTTTCAAAAAATACAAAAAAAAAAAAAAACTAAAACTTGTCAAATTGATCCAATCAACTTTTTTCATTGATTGCACTTTTTTAAAGTTTTAGGATCCGATTGATTGCACTTTCGTGATAAATTTAGGACTCGATTGCACTTTCATGATAAGTTTTAGGACTTGATTGATTACCCTTTTTCGAAAATTTTAAGACTCAATTACACTTTCGTGATAAGTTTTAGGACTTTATTTACTTATCGAACCCCACCTCTCACCCGTGGCTCCAATCCGTCGGTCACAACCGATTCCTTAAACTTTCAAATCACCACTTATTGTTGGGTCTAATGCAGTGACACCAATCAAGGACTGTCTAGATCTTTTTACAAGACGCACCAAAAAAAGTGCTCGTTGGAGCACATGACCCACTGAGGAGGGAAATGCCGATGCCTCTCCACCACAGAACGTTGCCCTCGGAATCATGCCTCGTACCCCCCTCTGGTCTCTTCCCTTTGAATCGCCAATGTGCACTCCAATGTCTGCCTTTATTTGGCTAAGCTTTGTGTGGCTCCAATCTTTGTCGAGAAAATTCTCGCTAGGCATCGATGTCGTGACGGAACGATACCCTTCCCCTCTGTCCAAATGTCCGACGTGGGCGAGACGGTGGTTGTCGGGGGCGGTCGGATTCTTTTTTTTTTTCCTTCGAGAAAATGCTCGAGTGGTCGTGGGGGATTGGTGGAGTTCCGTGATGAAGGATGGAGGAGGTTACGAGATTTCTCCATTGTTTGGTCACTTTCATGGGGTGTGCCTTGGGGCCACGAGGCTTTAATAGGAAGCATGAGGGCCAGGGCATGACGCACAGATGAAGCCACAAAGATATACATTTGCTAAGTCTCTTTAGTAGAAAAGAGATTAATGTCTCCTCTGATGCTGGCGATGTTTCTTTAGGCTTGTGCTAATGTGGATTGTCAAAGCGAAAGATGATTATGAAAGTTTTACTATATAAAAATGGTGAAATAGGGATAGCTTTAGTATTTGATTATCAAGTCTTATTTCCTTCGGCCGGTCCGTGGCCTCGGCGATGGCTAGGAGAGGGCCGGGATGCCCTCGCCGGATCTAGGCATCGCGACACCTGCCAGATCTGAGCGGTGGCCTGTGAGCCCTCGTCCAATGCCGGTGAGTCGCCCCACAGTGAAAAAAGAAGAAGAACAAATATCAAATAATTTTTTTAAAAAAAAAATCAGAAATGTTGAAATTTTGTTCAAAAACTGTCCACGTCAGTGCCGACCGTGCCACGTGAGATAGCTGCTGTTCACGTTGGCAATTTTCAATTAGAACTGACTAGATGGATTATATTGGCAAATTATCTAAAGGTTTAGAATTATACGAGCCAAATTGAAAAATTTAAGACTGAATTGATCGTCGTACAATAGATTTGTGACTTTTTTTTGATAATTTTTCCAGATGGGTGTTTACTGTGCCACTGTATAGAGAGGATTTTAATACGCAAAATATAAAGTATAGGAATCCAAAAGTATGGGGCTTGATGGTCTAACCACTACCATCTTTTTAGCATATTCCCCTATATATAAGCTCTTCCCAAGACTCTGCGTTCCATCAACCTTTGAACCTTCGAATACGTCTCCCCAAAAGCTTTCAATTTGCCACTTGGGAAAGTATAAAACGAGAGTCAATTGCCAAAGTTGGGTGACATCAAGGACAAGCCCTCCTCTAAGGCTATATTATCTTATCCCTATTCCACTTGACCTTTCATGTTCTCAGTCACTACTTCAAGTGCTGTAATCAGCGCATTGGCAGGAACGAGTTGAAATTGGGAAAATGACTTGTTAGATTTTACATGGGTAATTTATTTGATACATGTTAATGTCTCGTGACCTATAGAAAGCGATCAGTATATGGTTATTATCGGATCAATGGAATGAGTAGTTGGCGCGGTGAAAATAATCGAACCAATAATTTGCGGGCAAGCAAAGGTCATATCAGGGAAGTTGTTATGAGAGGAGGTCGAGCTTTTGAGGTCCTCGTCCATAAGAGAGCCAGGCAAACTGACTTGGAGCTTGATAAAGGGCGTTTTCCCTAGACTCGACATAGTATTAAGAACAAATTTAATGTCAGAAAACATCATCTCTCGAAGTAATTTCCAATAAATCCTCAAAAGCTGTCCTCTCTAGAACAACAAGCATGTTTATACCGAGAGAAACCCATAGGTAACTCTAATTGAAAGTGACAATTGAAAATGATTCGAAAATTCATAAAATGAAACGAAAATAAGAAAAAAAAATTACCTAAAAATGTATGATAATCATGGGTATTGTGACTAAAATCAACCTCAAGTGGGCTTTCCCCAGTTTATAAGAAGTCTAAACGAGCCCTGAACCGCTGTTACAAACTCCCGTCCAGATAAAAAGTTTGTGGTTGTTGACTAAATGGTGCAAATTCTTGTTGGCAACATTTGAATTTAGAATGTTGGAACGCCCTAGAAAGTCATCAACAA